GGGTGGGTCGAAAATGCTGCGACAAATTTAGGCCGTTGGCCTAAACAGAGACTACGAAGAAAACTGCCAGTTTAATAGTAAAGTCGAGTTCTCGACTGACGGTAATTTGAAATCCGAGAAAACAAATAATTGCCGACGAGGTGAACAAGTTGATAAAAAGTGATACACCAAAGAAATCGTTCATTAAATCAGACAGCCTTGAGTGTAAATGAAACAGTAAGCACATAGTACAACTGTAAAGGCGTGATAATTTGATAATTATGTAGACACTAGGGTGGCCCAAAGAAAATAAGGCCGGAATATTAATGCTCTGAACCCTGGGATTATTTTCTATCGGATCGTTAAAACAAAAAAAAAATAGTTAAATAAAAAATTGAGTATTATTCTTTGATATGTTAGTGTTTTGCCGAGCTTCTCCTTCGATTTGTGGCAAGCACCTTGAAACTTTGAGCGAACTTGAAATATTTTTTTTACGTAAAAAAACGCAACTGGGGTAAATTTTTTCGATATATAACGACCCTAGGGGTGCTCTCACCTTGTAATTTACATTTACCACACGCATTTTTGGACCAACCTAGTGGACACCTAGGCACTCAACACTCACCTCAACACCTCCACATGGTAAGCAACAATACCGGAAATGTACCGCTTATCCTCATCAAATAGACGCAACTCCATAGCCACTCTCGCCAAATGGGGTCCCTTAGTATTTTCACGTGCCTCAGCAAATTTCGGTTTGCACTTCTCCAGTGTGCGTGCAATGTGATCATAGTGCATTATTAGCTGTGTTGCCGTTGCACAGAGTAGTAAATCGAGCGCTACTTGCGCGCTTACCGCATGCCAACCGGCGAAACTCTGCGACAGATAAACCACATAGTAGCTCCAATGGTGCTGCCAATCCCATGGATAGTAGGCATTATAGGGTGCAGTTGGTTCGAGATCATGCTTGTGCTGGATATTTGTATGAATAAATTGTTTCAACAATGCATAAACATTATAGGTGGATATGGCCACAATAAAAAGAGCTGTATAGCCTCGCATTACAAGCGAATTGTATTTAATGTAATACTTCAGGCATATGTCTTCTTGCTGCGTACGGGTGCGCGGAAAAATAGCAAACAAACGATTCAAAAATTCGTCCATTTTGTTTTTTCCGATGACCATATAGTAGTATTTCCCAAAGGAGACCAGTACAAAAGCGACGAATGTTAGAGCCATAGTTGCCTCGATAAGATCCGTTTTGATTTTCATAGCGCCATAGTAAAATTCGGCAATGAAAGTTATTAGTAAGTTAGTTGCGGCAAAGAATAAAACAATACGACGCATCAGTCCGCCACTGGGGCCCCAAAGATCAGCACCACAATTGTGGAAAAAGAAGCTGGGGAGCGTTAGAAATTCTTCGAAGCGAAAAATAGTAGCCATGACGAAGATTCTGCAGAATTTTTGGTAGTCTGCAAGTGAAAGGGTTCGAGTTTTTCGAAGTTAATGTATATTAGAATCCTTTCTCATTGCATGCAGAGTTCGATAGCGTAATGACTTAAAAACCTCACTTTTTTAAATAAATGAAGCCTATTTTTTTGCAAAAGTAAAAAGCAAAGTTTGCCTGATATTTTTGATATGTAGCACATTTCAGCTCACAGTATGGTAAAATTTCTCCAAACCCAGCAGAAAATGTGTAACTGATTCTTGTGTAATCGAGAAGAAAATCTGTAATTGAACCTTTCTGGTTTAGTTCAGCGATAACTTAGGGCCTTTTCGGCACTAGTTATGACTATTTAGCAGGGCTCGGAAATAACTCTTAACCGAAAAACCATATTGGTTTTGCTCGGATACTTATCGTATAGCGCAGTCACCTCTCCCGGAGAGATATAAAAATTCGCGCATTATTTTGGTTTCCCTCTGAGATTAATATTTGATTTCAAGAAATAAATCTCTTTGATTAAGATCTGTATTTTATTTCAAGAAATAAATCTCCTTCACTGAGATTTAGCGAGGATACTTATTTGTAATGAAAGGAATAAGATTGGTCCAGTAGTGAGTTATTTTTAACCGAATATGTGGCCAAAATTTGATGCGAAAAGAAAATAAGAGGAAACTCCTAATGCTTAGGGGGAAAGAATCTCTTAAGTTACGGATCTGCTGACCGCTTACATCAGATTTCTTGTGGTATCACAATAGGCCCAGTGATGGGCCTCAGTGCGCTGATGTGTCTCACCTAATCTAGTTTTGACTTTATCTGAATTGGCTAATGCTTTGTCAAGCCATAAAATTTCATGAATACTTGTTATAAACGCCTTCGTTTTAGTTGAAAATACCTGTTAATTAGAAAGCTAATCAGTAGCGGCCGCTGTGGTGTAGTGGTAAGCAGTGCGCGCTTCCACTCCGCAACGCCTGGGTTCAAGCCCTGGTCAAAGCAACATCATAAAAATATAGAAAAAAGGTTTTTTCTTAACAGCGGTCGTCCCTCGGCAGGCAATGGCAAACCTCCGAGTGTATTTCTGCCATGAAAAACAGCTTCTCATAAAAATACAATCGCCGTTCGGAGTCGGCGTAAAACTGTAGGTCCCTCCGCTTTGTGTGACAACTTCAAGGCGCACGCCACAAATCTGAGGAGAAGCTCGGCCAAACACTAACATATGTGTAAGCGCCAATCTATTATTATTATTA